GGCATAATGCAGGACAACCTGTGTCATCCCTATATACTAAGTACTACCGTACTTAGTGATATACGTATTACCGTACTCAGTGATAAGTCCTTGGCCATCGAAACACTACAGTGAAAATGCACTTGTGCTTTTAATACACGTGATTCCAAATTTATTATCGTTACAGGTTCGGCTGATCTTGGTGTATGCCTTCACAGATCCTCATCAGGTCTCGATCTTCCAATGAAAGTAGTGGATATGTTTGGGTGTGGATTACCAGTATGTGCTTTAAATTTTGAATGGTGAGTTAAAAGTACAGCTTTGTGCTATAAATTATACGAGGTAATAATTGTGTGTAGTACTGTTATACTTACTGTAGTGCTGGTCATGTGACCTTCAGCCCTTCCATTTGGTCACATGCACGATGTTGTTTTTAAATTGCGTAATGCACTTAAAATTGTGAATCTGGTTAATGCACACTTTTGGCAGTAAGTTGGCAGTGGACCAGTAGCTGTGTGGCGCTCAATGCAGGCACGCGGTGTGTAGTGTGCTACGGCATTGTATCGGGTTTGAAACTTACTGAGAAAGCAGAGAACGTTGCCTCTCATGTTTTAGACATCACAAACGATGGCCAGAGCTCGATCACAACACAGCTGACAACTGATCACTGTATCACAGCAAACTATCACGCAGTTTACTTACACAAATGACAGACGCACGCAAGGGAGTCTGTATACTCAGAGAACTGTCTGAATAGGCTACTACAGTTCAATTTGACTGGTTGAAGGTCACATGCAGCACTACAACTTTAGAACACACTATGTACTGCATTATGTAGTTAGAAGTGCGCTGCATGTGCAGGGTGCTAATTTATGGGCTGTCGATTTACACACTTTTGGGTTTATGCCTCTGCATTTGAAATTCTTGTGGTAATAGATAGCGTGGTTACTGCAAGTAGGTTATTATTTTTATGTGCTTGGCGGCACTTTTGATCTACCCATGCAAGTTTATACAAGATGGTGTAAAGTAAACTGGTTGTTCGGCAAATCAAAAGACCAGTATATATAATATATCATTGTTTGTTATTCGGTGACACATTTTGCTTGCTCGACATGTACCTATTGTAGTTGCTACTCCTGGAATTCAATACAATGTTGGTAAGCATGTTAAAGGTGTACTGATGCATTGTGTGGACAGTACTTTCATATGTTAGAATTGCTTGGTCTCTCCTCTGTGCTGTGTAAGCACCATTAATATCTTTTTTGCCATGAAATACAAGTGAATAATGAATAGGTTTCCCCTACCAGTCCTTGCCTACCTTGCACACAGTGGTGGCAGCAGAAGTTGCTTAGAGAAGATAATGAGAACTCGATTTCAACAACCGCATCATCAATCATTAATATAAAGTATCATACATTTGTTTGCACTGACTGAGTTTTATCATTTTCTGCTCTTGTACCTAAGACTATCATTCATTTGCAGTTTGGATGAGCTTGTTAAACATGACATCAATGGAGTGGTGTTCTCCTGTAGTGCTGAGCTCAGTGCTCAATTACAGGTAGGTATGATATGCACGTGCCTTGTGTTCACAACATGCAGTTTTTGTGCAGTTACTTTCTTGTGTTGTACACTCTGTAATTCATGCAAGTAGGTATGCACTTACCTTGTGTTTACAAACATGCTCATTTTGTGCAGTTACTTTCCTTGTGTTGTAAAGCCCAAAAGCCCTATGCCATCATGCAAAGTAATCCACTGCATCCATTGAGAGCGGTCCTTCCACCAAAACGGTATTCTTACAGTGCTATCATTGCTTTCAAAGTGGTATTGATTATTAAATGGCTTGAAACGTAATAACCCATTGAGGAAGCCTGTCCCTGCCAGCGTTCACATTACTCTATATTTGTAAGTAGAGCTTAGCAAAAAGTTGGATAGGTGGACATAAAAGTAGCATAATATGCTTTAGGTCGACCGAAAAACATTTTCTGATGGGGACCTTTTTAAACTCACTACTAATATTGCTAATATGACAGTCCTGATGTATTTATGAGTGTATAATAGCATGCAATGCCTAATTTGTGTGTGTACCTGTCAGTCGGCCTGTCTGCTCAAATTCTAGCAGAAACACCCTTCTCTTCTAAAGGTACAAGTAAATTAAAAATCCTGCGAATTTAAAAAAAGAGGCATATAGGGATCGTATAAAAAGAAAGGGAGACAAGATAGGGATGGGATACATGAAACATGGGTAATGAACAGATTTGAGTACGCTGACAACCCCAACCCCATCACACAATCCCTATATTGTTGCCTAGGTGAAGTATTAAACATTCACCAATACAATACTCAGAACTTACAATACGCTACTGAGTAACCAACACCCTTATAGAGTCCAAGTGGAGTTTAAAAGGCAATTGGGGCGTATAAATGTTACTAAAAACAACAGGGACACGGTGAAAGAATGCTTGCTTTTAGTAACCTTTAGCCCCTATAAGAGTAGCACACCAGGCAACAATATAGGGATTGTGTGATGGGGTTGGGGGTGTCAGCGTACTCAAATCTGTTCATTACCCATGTTTCATGTATCCCATCCCTATCTTGTCTCCCTTTCTTTTTATACGATCCCTATATGCCTCTTTTTTTAAATTCGCAGGATTTTTAATTTACTTGTCTCCACTCATTTTTACGTATTATCTCAGTGGAATGGGGCAAGCCCCCTACAAAAATTAAACTACTAGAGAAAAAATGCCTGTTGTCATCATGGAAACGATGTGCATACCATGTTTCATCTCCATGTGTGCTGCTGTTAGCAAGTTTGAGGAGTGAAGAAGAAATTTTAAAGAAAAGTGCCTGAGGCTATTTGTTGTTGTGGTCGTCATGGAAACAATGTTACACACATGCGCTCCAAGTTTCACCTCCATGCGTGCTACAGTTAGCAAGTTTGAGGAGTGAAGGAGTAATTTTAGAGAAAAGTGCCTGAGGCTATTTGTTGTTGTGGTCATCATGGAAACAATGTTACATACATGCGCTCCAAGTTTCACCTCCATGCGTGCTATAGTTCGCGTGTTTGAGGAGTGAAGAAGTAATTTTAAAGAAAAGTGCCTGAGGCTATTTGTTGTTGTTTACAAAGTATTGTTGTGATTTTGATGTTGGTAATTGAATACATTATGTCTAAAAGTTTCGTTCACATAGCTCTTACCATTTGTGAGTTATACTGACACATGTGATCCCTTTATAATGTATTGCCTGGGGCTATTTGTTGTTGTTTACAGTAAACAATGCTGTTTGTATAGGTAATAGTGCAGTTTGGTGTGGTATTAGGGATTAATAGGGATGGAATTTTTCAAAATAGTATGAGGCGAAGCCGAATACTATTTTTACAAATTCCATCACTATTAATCCCCTAATACCACACCAAACTGCACTATCACATGTTAATAGTATACTATGTAACAGCCAATACATTTGATCCATAGAGAATTCACCGTAATACCCTTGGAAAATTGAAATACCCCCCGAAAATTGAAATACCCCAGAAAATCGACCAATCAAATCAAGTGACTAGGAAATCAATGTGAAATACTTCATACAAGTTACAGCTCCAGAAACAAGTGTCGCGAAAGATCTTGTGAGCATGACTATAGCTAATCTATATAACACACTGATCACTATACACAGCACTATACTATTAATGCTGTGTATAGTGATCAGTGTGTTATATAGATTAGCTATAGTCATGCTCACAAGATCTTTCGCGACACTTGTTTCTGGAGCTGTAACTTGTATGAAGTATTTCACATTGATTTCCTAGTCACTTGATTTGATTGGTCGATTTTCTGGGGTATTTCAATTTTCGGGGGTATTTCGATTTTCCAAGGGTATTACAGTGAAATAGTTAAATTCTCTATGGATAAAATGTATTGGCTGTTACATAGTATACTATTAACAAAGAAATAAGTATGACCAGTCTCTTCGGGTGACGGATATCTACATTCTTACAAAATTTCATTACATATAGGTTAGATGCGGAGCCGAGGTGACTACGCGTGGTAGAGTGCCGAGGGCTCCCGAGCTGTCGGCGTCCCGAGTGCAGCGAGGGCGCTACTAGGGAGCCCGAGGCACTCTACCACGCGTAGTTACCGTGGCGACGCGTCTAACCGGTTTAGATCCATTCAAACTGTTTGCGAAGATATGGGCACGCCAGGCGAGCTGTTCAGCGACGAGATACTATCTTGTCTAGACGAGGAAGACTCCGAGAAGGAACTCGACATACTCATGCTCGCCGCGAACCAATCCTCGAACGCTCTGCAGATACGTGCGCGTAGAGTGGGCGGAGCCCTTTTCCGCGAAACACGGCGGACGACGAGGGAGTGCTGTAGCTTTCGCATACCTTTTCTGGCTCGCCGCTGGTAGCTGAAACCTCGCTCGAGTCTCTTACCTATCGCATCTTCACGCTCGCTCCCCAATAGATCCCGTCGTCCGGGGCAGCGGGATCTACAGAAAATAGATCCCGCGTTTGGACCAATGAAATTGCGCGATTTCAAATCACCGGGATGTAATATATGTTGTTTCATTTTTGAGTTATGGGTGTTGAATCTGAAGAAGAAGAAGAGGATGAACAAAACTCCCTATCATAGCCCCATACATCTATGATGCTAGGTACCATGTCATTCCCTATGTCACTAAGTACGGTAGTACTTAGTATACAAGTACATTAAAAATCCTGCGAATTAAAAAAAAGAGGCATATAGGGATGGTATAAAAAGAAAGGGAACAAGATAGGGATTGGATACATGAAGCATGGTTATTGAACAGATTTGAGTACACTGACACCCCCAACCCCATCACACCATCCCTATATTGTTGCCTGGTGTGCTACTCTTATAGGGGCTAAAGGTTACTAAAAGCAAGCATTCTTTCACTGTGTCCGTGTTGCTTTTAGTAACATTTATACTGCCACATTCCCTTTAATTAAACTCCACTTGGACTCTATAAGGGTGTTGGTTACTCAGTAAGTGCATTGTAAGTTCTGAGTATTGTAATGGTGAATGTTTAATACTTCACCTAGGCAACAATATAGGGATGGTGTGATGGGGTTGGGGGTGTCAGCGTATTCAAATCTGTTCAATAACCATGCTTCATGTATCCAATCCCTATCTTGTCTCCCTTTCTTTTTATACCATCCCTATATGCCTCTTTTTTTAAATTCGCAGGCATTTTTAATTTACTTGTCTCCACTCATTTTTATATACTACTACGTATTATCTCTGTGGAAAAAAATGGCAGTTGTCGTGATGGAAATGATATGCACACCATGTTTCATCTCCATGTGTGCTGCCATTAGCAAGTTGGAGGAGTGAAGAAGTAATTTTAAAGAAAAGTGCCTGAGGCTATATATTTGTTGTTAGGGTCATCATGGAAACGATGTTACACACATGCGTACCAAGTTTCACCTCCATGCGTGCTAGTTTTAGGAGTGAAGAAGTAATTTAAGAAAAGTGCCTGAGGCTATTTGTTGTTGTGGTCGTCATGGAAACGATGTTACACACATGCGTACCAAGTTCCATCTCCATGCGTGCTACAGTTAGCAAGTTTTAGGAGTGAAGAAGTAATTTTAAAGAAAAGTGCCTCAGGCTATTTGTTGTTGTGGTCGTCATGGAAACGATGTAATACACATGCGTACCAAGTTCCATCTCCATGCGTGCTACAGTTAGCAAGTTTTAGGAGTGAAGAAGTAATTTTAAAGAAAAGTGCCTCAGGCTATTTGTTATTGTGGTCGTCATGGAAACGATGTAATACACATGCGCACCAAGTTTCACCTCCATGTGTGCGACTTTGAGGAGTGAGGAAGTAATTATAAAGATAATCGTCTGAGGTTTCTTCAAACAGTATGCGGTCGTCATGGAAAAATGTAGTTGTCATGGAAATGATATAATAGGCATACGTACCAAGTTTCATCTCTATGCGTCCTACCATTAAGGAGTTTGAGACGTGAAGAAGTAATTTAAAGAAAATTGCCTGAGGCCTTTTCGAACAATGTGCGGTCGTCATGGAAACATGTAATCGTCATGGAAATGATATCATAGGCATACGTACCAAGTTTTCATCTCTATGCGTGCTACTATTGGAAAGTTTGAGGAGTGAAGAAGTAAATTTTAAGAAAAGTGCCTGAGGCTATTTGTTGTTATATACAAGCATGTATTGTTGTCATTTTTATGTTGGCTATTGAATACATTGTGTATACAAACTCTTCAATTTCAATCAGATCCAACTTTTGACACATCAGACTAATTTGTATCGTCACAAATAGCACGTATTCAAGAAATAGCTAATTGGTACTTGATTTATTCAAAAAAGTCACTTTTCAATATTCTTCTTCTTCTTGTTGTTGTTGTTGTTCAGTTTCAACAAGCGTATCTCAAAAACCAGGTAAGATATGGAGATCAAACTTTGCACAAAGATTGGAATCCATGACAGGTCGTGCAAGAGCATTTTAATTTCTTCGTAAACAATTTTGTTTACATGTAAACAACAACAAATAGCCCCAGGCAATACATTCTGATAGAGACAAATAAAGTGTGCTAACTGGGTAAAGCTAATACCCAGAGTGATAAAACTTTGTACACATATACAACCCATCATTAGTATCAAAATGTAAACATTACAAGTTTGTAAACAACAACAAACAGCCTCAGGCAATAAAAACTTGTAAAATGTGTTTGTGCCTATAACTTGCTTATGGTGGGTCCTCTAACAATGAAACTTGGTACGCTGATGTACCACGATGAGAGTTCATCGAAACAGAAATTACAAGTTTTTAAACAACAACAAACAGCCTCAGGCAATAAAAACTTGTAAACTATATTATTGCCTATAACTTGCTTATGGTGGGTCCTCTAACAATGAAACTTGGTACACTGATGTACCACGATGAGAGTTCATCGAAACAGAAATTACAAGTTTGTAAACAACAACAAACAGCCTCAGGCAATAAAAACTGTAAAGCTATTTTGTGCCTATAACTTGCTTATGGTGGGTCCTCTAACAATGAAACTTGGTACACTGATGTACCATGATGAGAGTTCATCGAAACAGAAATTACAAGTTCGTAAACAACAACAAACAGCCTCAGGCAATAAATGATGCCTTGTGCCTCTAACTTGCTTATTGTGGGTCCTCTAACAATGAAACTTGGTACACTGATTTACTATGTTAAGAGTTCATTGAAACATGAATTACAAGTTTGTAAACAACAACAAACAGCCTCAGGCAATTAACAATCTGTTTTTCCTATAACTTTGTACACTTATCTACTTTTGGAACTGAAATAAAAATGTAGATGACTAAGACTCCGAGGCAATAAATATGTGTTACTTTTTATATGGACATTATGCCCCAATGCATGTGCATGCCGTAAAAAAAGGAAAGGAGACAAGGCAGGGATGACCTAGTGTATGTGATGCATTAGTAGTGGGATGATGGTTACATTTTCAAACTGACATTGCTTGCTCGTGTAAATCTTCCTCCACACAAGCCCTATATTGTCGCAAAGCATGAGTGAGCCCCCTCATAGAATGATTCATCTCACACGTGATGCACAGGTGTTGTTGCCCTCTCTGACAGCTCCTCAGTTTTTGGTTGTGACTGCATTGTGTGCAGTCTAAGACTTCGGTGTTCGCTCAACTAACGATGAGTTTTACAATGCTGTGTTCATGGCCCGCCAGAGAATCCCTTTACAGACTGGTCTTAATATTCTAGAGAGAGGGGACTCGACTAAAGAGTGCCGGCTAAATGCACTGTCATTAAAATCTCTTGCTAGCATGAGTGATCTCTATTGTATGATGTGCAGCTATGACTCGTTTCTTATGCACGAGTGGATCTGTGTCTCAGCCTCACCATTGTCCTCACACTAAACAAATTCATGTTGTGAGAAAAGTGGCGACAATATAGGGCTTGTGTGGAGGAAGATTTACACGAGCAAGCAATGTCAGTTTGAAAATGTAACCATCATCCCACTACTAATGCATCACATACACTAGGTCATCCCTGTCTTGTCTCCTTGCTTTTTATGGCATCCCTATATTCCATACTTTTTAATTCGCAGAATTTTTTATTTACTTGTACTAAGTACTACCGTACTTAGTGATAAACATACAGAGTCTTCCTGCTTTTTTAGGCTTTAGATGCCATTCTCAGTGTTTAGCCAGTTATTAACCCTGGCGTGCATGCGCAGCGAGGGTTATAGTATATACTTGGTCTGTCCGTCTGCCACCACGCACAGGTAAAATAGTGACACCAACGGGTTCAGCGCTACACTGGCTTCATTTTAAAACACAATCCCTATATTGTTGCCTAGTGTGCTACTCTTGTAGGGAACGTGGCGTTATATAAGGGCTAAAGGTTACTAAAACAAAGCACTCTTCCACCGCCCCCCGTTGTTTTTAGTAACATTTATACTGCAACAGTCCCTCCACTTGGACTCTACAACGGTGTTGGTTACTGAGTATTGCAATGGTGAATGTTTAATACTTCACCTAGGCAACAATATAGGGATTGTGCGATGGGTTTGGGGGTGTCAGCGTGCTCAAATCTGTTCATTAACCTCATCATTTATATATCTCTGTGTAAGGGGGCAAGCCCCCTATAAAAAATTATAATACAGAAAAGTTCTTGTTGTCGTCATGGTAATATGCATGTGTACCAAGTTTCATCTCCATGTGTGCTGCCATTAGCAAGTTTGAGGAGTAAAGAAGTAGTTTTAAAGAAAATTGCCTGAGGGTATGTGTTGTTGTGGTTGTCATGGAAACGATGTAATACACATGTGCACCAAGTTTCACCTCCATGCGTGCTACAGTTAGCAAGTTTGAGGAGTGAAAAAAAGAATTGCCTGAGGCTTTTTCAAACAATTTGTGGTTGTCATGGAAATGATATAATAGGCATACATACCAACATGAAAAATGAAACAAGGGGTCATAACACAGCTAAGAATCACATCACAAAGTTACATGGCACCATCCCTATATCTTTGTCTGATTGATAAAAGATACAAGTAAATTAAGAATTTAAAAAAAGAGTGCATATAGGGATCGTATAAAAAGAAAGGGAGACAAGATAGGGATGGCGTTTGTGGAAGCACAGAGATGCTAGCGAGGAGTTAGGTGGGAGTACCTAGCATCATAGATGTATGGGGCTATGATAGGGAAGGTTTTCAATCTTCTTTGTAGGGTGGGAGTGGAAGTGATTAGAGAGTCTGTAGAATATTGCTATAGGTAATGAAATACTCACTAATTACCTTTGATAGATTTGTCATGCTACATTTCCATGGAGTGCGCATTTAGGTGGAAGTGTAATCAGCTGACCATAACATTGGATACACATGTATATACATGGAACATCGAAAAATTGTGTAACGCAAGAAAACAAAATTCAAGTATGCAAGGTTGGCTGATATATTATATTCACGCGGAAGTAGTAAAGCACCGATACAATGATATAGGGCTGTTGCAATGACCTGTGGGAGTCCTAACTCCTCGCTAGCATCTCTGTGCTTCCACAAACACCATCCCTATCTTGTCTCCCTTTCTTTTTATACGATCCCTATATGCACTCTTTTTTAAATCGCAGGATTTTTAATTTACTTGTCTCCACTAATTTTTTTTATATATTACTACGTATTATCTCTGTGGAAGTGGGCAAGCCCACTATAAAAATTTATAATAGAGAAAATATGCCTGTTGTCGTCATGGAAATGATATGCATACAATGTTTTATCTCCATGTGTGCTGCCGTTAGCAAGTTTGAGGAGTGATGAAGTAATTTTAAAGAAAAGTGCTTGAGGCTATTTGTTGTTGTGGTCGTCATAGAAACGATGTAATACACATGCGTACCAAGTTTCATCTCGATGTGTGGTACAGAGTTTGAGGAGTGAAGAAGTAAGTAAAGTGCCTGAGGCTATTTGTTGTTGTTTATACAATGTGGTTGTCATGGAAATGCATGCGTACCAAGTTTCATCTCCATGCGTGGTACCGTTAGCGAGTTTGAGGAGTGAAGAAGTAAATTTAAAGTAAAGTGCCTAGGCTACTTTGTGTTGTGGTTGTCATGGAAACAGTTTAATACGTATGTGTATCAAGTTCCACCTCCATAAATGCTACAGTTAGCAAGTTTGAGGAGTGAAGAAGTAATTATAAAGATAATCGTCTGAGGTTTGTTCAAACAGTATGCGGTCGTCATGGAAATGATATAATAGGCATACGTACCAAGTTTCACCTCCATGCGTGCTATAGTTAGCGTGTTTGAGGAGTGAAGAAGTAATTTTTAAGAAAAGTGCCTGAGGCTATTTGTTGTTGTGGTCGTCATGGAAACGATGTAATACACATGCGCGCCAAGTTTCACCTCCATGCGTGCTACAATTATATAGCAAGTTTGAGGAGTGAAGAGGTAATTTAAAGAAAATTGCCTGAGGCCTTTCCGAACAATATGCGGTCGTCATGGAAACATGTAATCGTCATGTAAATGATATAATAGGCATACGCACCAAGTTTCATCTCTATGCGTGCTACAGTTAGCAAGTTTGTGGAGTGAAGATAAAGAAAAGTGCCTGAGGCTATTTGTTGTTATTTACAAACATGTGTTGTTGTGATTTTGATGTTGGCTATTGAATTCATTATGATTGTATACAAACTTTCTTTAACATAGCTCTTACCAATTGTGAGTTACACCGACACATGTCAGTATGCCCATTAAAATGTATTGCCGATTATAATGTATTGCCTGGGGCACTTTTGTTGTTGTTTACAAACAAAAAAGTATGACGTTGCACATGTGGTTATTGATATGTACAATCCTACAAAATTTCATGGCTTTATCTCTTTCGGTTTTTGAGTTATGCTGGTTGAACAGGAAGAAGAAGATGATGATGAACAAACTCCCTATCATAGCCCCATACATCTATAATGCTAGGTACCATGTCAATCCCTATATACTAAGTACTACTGTACTTAGTGATAGGGATGGTGCCATGTAGCTTTGCAAGTCTTAGCTATGTGATGACCCTTGTTCTTTCCTTTTTCATGTTTTGGGCCATCTCTATATCCCCTTCATTTTGATTATTTTTGTGAACAGCTCTGACTACGCAGCATTTACTTATTATGGCATAATAAGTGAATATAGTAACTCTAAAATGTGCATGGGGTCACTACTGCCTGTCAAAGGAAGCACTATGCACATACGAAGCTAGCTTTTGTAGTGAGATGGAGTTGACTGCGACATAGCACTGCACGATCATCAGGACAACACCTCTGCATGCTTGACACTTGATGGCCGTGCACACCTCGATGGAACCTGGAGAGATTCTAGTGAAACAATTTGTGCTTCAACTAGTTGCGGTAAGGATATATATAGTGGGTTTGAAGCAGTTTAAATAGATGATGAAAAAATAATAGTAAGCAGTGAAGTAACATGTTATGGTAGGGTCCTAACTACTTATTGAAGTGTACAACCAGTTACAGCAGGGTTCTAACGAGTTATGGCGATGAAGAAACCTGTGTAACCTCCTTCAGTAGCGCCATAACCAGTTACAGGAGAGACATAACTGGTTAAATCAGTGCTGTTATCAGTTACAGCCAATTCTCCAATTCCAATATAGTCTTTTTGGATATGTATAACTATAATGCACGCTAGTGATTTAAAAAAACTTATGGAGTCATTCTCACTGAGTTTTGAGGTATTTTGTATGTGTGCCATCCCTATATAGAGCGTTTACCGACGCTCAAATAATAAGTGAGCAAGCCCACCTTGGTGTTTATTGAGACTAATTTTATTATGACCCACCGAATGTCACCTTAATGTGCATGTTAGCATTAGACGCTTCATTCCGCAAAACTATGGAAAACTTTCCCCCAGACACTTGTGAAACTGCTGTGGCAGGGCCCCGGCAAAAAAATTTACATTTGAGCAAGAACAGTCTATAGGTGCTTATCTGCTTATCTTGCACACTAGGCACTGTGTTGTCAGTGTAGCGTATTGTTTGTATGTGTGCTCTATGTAGCACTTTTGACAGCCAGTCTGAATTATAGATGAAGCTGCACCAGTAGCAAATCTATAGCTAGAAAATATTACGTCATGAAAACTGGTAATAATTATGAAGATTGCATTATTTTTACATCCAGTTATGTTTTCTGCCTTTTTAACAACTATGTAGTTAAGAGGCTTAGTTCCTCTTTTGCTCAACAGAGGGTACAGAAGAGCGACATACACCACGGCGTGCATAGTAATGCATACCATATCTCGCAACATACTAGTGAGCTTCATGCACCATCATATGCATACTAATAATGGTTTTTGTTGTGCTACGTGTGGAATAATATATTTTTGACAAAAATATTTAGCTAGGTGTAGGGTCACTCTAACTAATTAAAAATTGCGATAAGTATTGTTTTACAGCTACTGTATCTAACTGTCGTTGTCTCTTTATTAGGACTTGTGCAAAGGCTTTCCTGAAAACAATTCTAAACTCATGCAGTACAGGAATAATCTGTCAACATATCAAAGCCATCGGTGGAATGATTACTGGAAAACTATAGTTCTTCCACTAATAGAAAATTAGTTCACTGACCATGATGTTAGGGTGCAAAAGATAATAATGTTCTTGCACTATTAAGAATCTGTAATGCACATTCAACAGAGAGAACATTCTAAAAGAGATTGAGCTATGTTACAACTTATGTACAGAATTGTATCCTTATTCTTTTTGCTGAATAGGCCCATAGTCTTCTGAAGAGGGATGAAATTTCTTGTAACTCCTCCATTCAACCAGACAAAAACTCAGCGTACCCAATACTGCTAATAGAGACTGTGAATAAAAATGTCAGTGTGCAATAACAGTATGTTAACAGGGTACTCTTGGTAGTGTGTACGATTTATATAAAAATTCACTTGCAATCCACTTAGTACTCAACTACTGTTCATGCTGATATCAGAGTGAGACAAGGTTAAAATTACTAATTACTCCAGTAAAGATTTCCAGTGGAGCCTTCCCCCACGTTGGTCTTCAAGCCAAAGTAGAGTCAATGTTCATGTGCTTTACAAATGGCCCACTACATATGCTGGCACCTTGGGTAAGATTTTTTGTGCTTCTACAGGACTTTTTAGATATTCTGAGTAAAAATTGTGGGAACCAGCTAACCAATAGTCTATTATGGGGGACAAACAGTAAGAATTACCAGTATTAGAAGAACCCACTGCAAACTGATCAAAGTTGATGTCAGGAACCCAGTAAATGCTGCAATTGACTGAAAAAAGAGAAGTTTTCATTCATGTTGGCTCTAAGTAACAGCACATCCAGCATACGTTATAATATATATATTATATAATAATATAAAGGGAGGAAGGGAGGAGTATATATAATTATACTGGTTGGTATTGTGTTTTCCCTCATACATGCAATGAGCAGCAACAGTGCGCTTTGCAGAAGAGACTGGAACGTTTTATATGTTCTGGTTTATTACTACTTGGCATGTAGTGCACATACCAAAAATAATGATCACTAACTACACTGATCAAATTCATATCCAGTTATGTTACTGTCAACAATGCCCACTGACAGAGGCTCTAGGATGTTCAGACTAATGATCAGTTAGGCTAATCATGATTAAATTTCCCCCCAAGACTAAGTTTTTTTTAGAGCTTGAACTTAACCTTACTCTAGAGGATCATCTTTGCGGTCAGAAAAAGTGGAAATATTTTGCGCCACTGAACTGCCTTATCTTTACTTCGCTCGCCCGGGTTTTCCACCGCTTTGCTCCTGAATCCGGTTACCACTGTTGATGTGTCAAGTTTGAGATATCTGCGTCTGGCATGTAGAGGTGGCAGGTTAAGCAGGTGCAACATGTCATCATAGCTCATGTCCCATAATTATCTTTAGACAAACTTTGCAGGCAAATTTTTGAACAGACTCGAGAGCTTCAATATCTTTCTTGTTGCATGGATCCCACAGCTGAGCAGCATACTCTTAATGTGGTCGAATGCATGATATTCAGATATAATATTATACACAGTACGAAGGGTGAGGGTGTTGGCCCATGTATAGAATTGTCTGTACAGCATACCAATTAGTTTCCGCACTTTTAGACATAGGTGTTGGTTCAGACCATGAGATGCGTTGGTTCACTATGACTCCCAGGTAGCAGTAGCTTTCAAGTCGTTCAATTTGGCAACTACTGATATAATTATATTTCTTGAGGAGGGAGAAGAGGCTGTCTTTTTCTTGACCCCAGAATATACTTATGCATTTAGAGTTAGTTGCAATTCCTCAATGTGGTTAGTGATGGTTGTGATGTCCTGTTGCCAACACATGCGCTTCTTGAAGCTAACGCGAGTAAATAGACAACGATTTACCAAGAAAAGATCGATTTAGAGAACGATTTTCCAACCCAAAATCGAGTAAAAGCAATGACATGTAATAGTTTGCATCCTTGATAAGCTTGATAAGAAGGAGATCATCTGCATACAATGTCATTTGAGCACCATTGGACAGAGTAAGCTTGCTGATAGAACTGATGTATGATAAAAACAGCAGAGGTCCAAGTACTGACCCTTGTGGGACACCAGATACAACTGAGGTGTCAGTTGATGATTCTCCTTGAACAAAAACATACTGTTTTTTTCTGTTTAGGAGGTAGAATGCAATCCACTGTACAATGTAAGGATTCAGACCAGTGTCTTTTAGGTGTTTAAGTAGCGGTACACACATGCAACACATGCGCTTCTTGAACTCTGCATCGTCTGCCTCGTTCGTCTCTGAGCGTCTAACCCGGACACTGTGTCTCTCTCGCTCACGTCGTCCGCGCCAGCATAACTCGTCTCACCAATCATTTGAAGGATTTGGAGAAAGATGCTGACCGACCGACGACCCTTGACCTCGCACACGGAATGACACGCAAGTTAGACGCCCTCGACTCTGACTTTCGTACGCATCATCACGCCCTCATCGACTTAAGGTGGTTTCCCACCCAAAAAATAGAAGGCGTACGAAAGTCAGAGTCGAGGGCGTCTAATTTGCGTGTCATTCCGCGTGCGAGGTCAAGGGTCGTCGGTCGGTCAGCATCTTTCTCCAAATCCTTCAAATGATTGGTGAGACGAGTTATGCCGGCGCGGACGACGCCTCTTCTCCTTCTAAGGGTAGAGATGTTGCTCATTGTCAATGAGTAAGGGTGAGAGACGAGGACAAGTGTGATCACACGTGGTCAGTCGAGTAGCGCCGTTTCACGAAGAACGAGGGTGTGTGAGAGAAAGAACCATTCGATAGCCGCTGGTTCGTCTGGTATC